TTAAAAAAAAAAAAAAATAATAATAATAATAATTATGTTTGTGCTGCATAATTTCACGACTATCGCCAAGAAAAACTCTTTAAAAACTCTTTCCCACTAGAAATTTAAATTTATTCTTTCTCACTTCCTGCTTCCCAAAATCTGCTTCGTTTTTCGCTTGAAGCTTTTCAGAAACTTTAACTCAGACTTTTCAAGCGTTTAAAATTCATATGCTAATTGTGGAGTTGAAAATATTGTAGCCTACTTTTTTGGGCAACTGAGAAATCATTTAATATGCGCGCAAATAATGAAGGTATGCAAATTTGTGTTGGCCGCAAAAATCCAAAAAATTGTAGCTGATGCCGAATATCAACGCCTGCTGTTATCAGAGGCAAAAAATAAGGGAAGAAAATGTAAATGAAAATTGAAAATGAAAATAAAAATAAAAGAAAATTAATTTAGATTTTGATTGATAGCAAGGCGTGAAGGCACTGCTGCAGCTGTGATTTCTTGTTGCTGTTGTTGTTGTTGTTGTTTTACATTACCCGCTGAACTTTCAATAAATCTCGTCTCGTTGATATTGGAGGATATTCCTAAAATTCTCCACTGCTCCCGCTGGCTTTTGCACCGATTTTTCAGCTGCTTTTGTTGTTGTATGAAAAGTGTTGATTGCTCTCGTTGTTGTTGCTGTGGCTGCTGCTGTTGTTGTTGCCGTTGTTGTTGGTAATGTCCGGATGGCAGCTCGTGTTGCTGGTAATCAAAGCTGCAATTACCGCCGTACACGTCCAATTGAAGCGGAAATTTATGCGGCTGCTGTAGCGTGTAAACGCCAGCATCGACGTTGTCGAAGCCGTCTCGACGTCGCTGCTGCTGCTGTTGCGTCTGCTTCTTGTTGCTCCTGTTGCTAGTGCTATTGTTGTTGTTGGAGCCAAACCAGCTCGTTAGCCACAAGGATTGTAAGTCTAAAAACAGAGAGAGAGAGAGAGAGCGAAAGAATCAGTAAGAGAGAGCGAGAGAGACAGCTGGTGTGAGTGAGTGAGTGAGTGAGGTGGGTTAGACCGCCTTAGCATATTGAGCCAAAATAAACAAGTTTCATGAATGCCCCATGAAATGTTGTCTTAGATTTGTTTAATGCACATGCTGAGCATTTTCTTGTTATTCTTCTTCTTCTTCGTTTTCTTGATGTTGTTACAGTTGTTGTACCATTGTTATTTCTTACCGCCTCAGTCGACACGCATAAGGACTTTTTGTTATTCATATTACTTGACTGGCTTTCAGCTGTGTTATGTAGCTAAAGTGTAAAAACAAGTAAAATGACTTGGGAATACCCTGTATGCCCCTACCGTCTGATTGCTGTTAACTGACAGATCTTAAACATTTCTCTTCGAGAATTTAACATTGTTGCCCATTTCTCTTTGATAAATCTTTGATAACTTTTATTAAATGGGAAATCAGTTTGGTTATGAATATCTAGGAATAACCCTAGCTCGACTGTTCGAGTTTTTTAGATAATGTATATATGTATAAGTAAATTTAAAGAATTTCATATGTCTTTTAGCTCTTTTATGCCTTTTATTGTATGTCTCTTTATATGGTATTACCCAACACTGTTATATCTGCATTATGTACCATTCATTAATGCTGTATAATGAAGTCTGTTATATCAACACATTTTGATGAGTATTACTCGCTCTGTATAAATTATTACCCTGTGCTACCTTTTATTATATAACCCATCATCCAAGACTGTTATCCGAGTAGCAGTACCCGGCAGTTGTTTCGCAACTCTGTACTTAACATTTAATACGTCTATTTTAAGTACAATTAATTAAGTTAATGGCAACACTTAACCGTAGCCATCAAGAGAAACACTTGAGATATCAGCAACCCTTTGATAGGAATATGATTTAAGGGGCATCAAAGGCAGACTGAGATAATGCGTGCGTTTGGGTTGAAATTACGTTTGAAGGGCGGTTCATTGAAACGAAGAGCAGTCCGATTGCGGCTCATTCATTTCGCTTGTTAGCAGCTCCATTAAAAAGCGCTATACTTGCTTATTTTGTTCTTTTTATATTTTTAGGCAGTAAGTCGGTTTAAATGCTATCTGGCTGTGCTCCCTATGGCCAGGCCGAGCGAGCACTAACAATAGCCAAAAATATAAAAAAAAGGAAGAAGAGAACAACAACACGAACAACAAAAAAAGCTACAAATTTGGTTTTGTGGCACGCAAAATAATCAAAAATAATCCTTTTTTGTTGGCCCCTTTTTTGTGGTGCGCGCTCAAGGCATTGTGTAAAGGGAGTATATTGGTTTTTGAAAGCTAGAAATTTTAAATTTTTTATATATATTACTTTAAATATATTCAGTCTGATTAGGTATTAGGATTTCGAAAATATTAACTGGGATTGTGTGAATTTCTTAATTTTGTAAATCATAGATTTTATAGATTTTATAAATCTATATAGGTCAAAGCTAGAGCATTATAAGTTTATATAGATTCGTAATGTGACACGCTTTGAATATAAATTTATAAAGATAGTCAGATAGATAGATAGATAGATTGATAGTCAGATAGATAATCAGATAGATAATCAGATAGATAGATAGATAGATAGATGGACAGATAGACGATAGATAGATAGATTGATGTAAATTTATGGATAGATAGCTCCATGGCGTGTTTGATGCATTTTAATAGCTCTATTTTCACACTTCCACATACACTTTAAGAACTGTAAACTTAGTGCTCGTATACCTGTTCAATATCCGTACAATACAGATTACATAACTGTACCCAATAAATAGAACACCATTTCAGATCAAGATCCTTCCTCCTCTCAATAAAAATATTTACAAATTTCTTTTAATATTACTTTTTATAATCTACTCTATTTGTAAGCCCTGAACGAGCATTATGCGGCCGCTTACACCCAACTGCAGTATCACCATTCTTATTTCGCTTTGTCTGTTTGGTGCTGTTTGCTTTGTTTGTTGTGTTTGCTTTTGTCGGGCTTTAGAGCTGAGCTTAGTTATGGATGCCATTGTTGTTGGCAACAGCCAACGGGTTGTTTGTTATATTTTTTGGTTTTCATCATTTGGCTAAGCTCGCTGATTGGTTTCATGGCCAGCAAAATGCGTATACGTTATATTTGTGCTTCTCACACACTCCTCCCCTACGCACACATACACACACACACACACGACAAAAGTCAACAAATTACTGGAATATCGCTACAATTGTCCAGCCAAAACAATTTGTATGCAAAATTGTGTGTCCAAATTGCTCGTTGGTTATTCTTTCCGGTATGGCACATACTGCACACACATATATATGTATATATATCTCATATAAGTTCTGTTTCCATTCATCAAAATGTCACATCAGGTTGACTTTGTTCTTTTTATACTCTGTTTTGCCCGCAGCCAGGCAAAATCTTTGCGATGTGCTGTCATTAATCGCAGCTAAAACCTCTATGAGACATAGAGACAGATGAATACGTATATAAGCCAAATGTAGCCAAAAATTTGTTAAGCTAAAAGCCAAATTATCCTATAGAGAAATGCACTGAAATTGTAAGTCTTGAGATTGCTAGAGAAATCGCTTTGATGATGTTGAAACAAAGCTGCTTAATATATTCATTTTATCTACATTTATCTTAGCTAACGCCTTGAGATTATTTTTGAGCAAATATTTAGATATAACTAAATAGATTTGTATAATTTAGTATTAAATTTTTAATGCAATTATATATATTTTTTTTGTTATTGAATGAAATGTATACTGTATTCAAATATTGTCAATAACAATGATCAAATTTGATAAATTTTAAGTTTCTTATATATATACACCTATATTTTTTGTTAAATATTTATAAATTTATATAATTTAATTTTTGTTATTTATTTATTTATTTTTTTTTTAAATAAATTTTATTGCAGCTTTTGTCCTTAACTCTATAGGGCCAATTTTTATTGCATACTTTTATGCGTGTTTTAGCATAGTTATACACATTATAATATACTTAATAGAAATGCGTATTTATTAAAATGTTTAGCAAGCTTGAGTAGCCCCTTTTTTCTCGCAGTGTATGTCAGCATAACACACATCAACGGAACAGCTATTAATGGAAGGTGTCATTGTTGTCAGCCGATGTTGATACGTGGGTGGGCATGTGTGTGTGCGTGTGTGTTTGGGTTCGTATTTTGTATTTTTTATTTGTATTTATTTCCTTTTTTTGGTGCTTCTCTCTATTTGTCTGCCTTGGTAAAGCTGATGGCTGAGCATTTCTAATGAGCGGCAATAAAGCAAATGTGGCAGGTGACATACATCAAACAATTTGCACATTATAATTGTTGACACGCATCGCCTCGCCTCGCATGTGGAGGTGGGATGTGCAGGAAACGAGAAGGAGAAGAAGAAGAAGAAATAGCAGTAGAAACTCCCTCCAGCTGATGTGTCATTAGTGAGGGCGAATGCGGAGGGGTAGAGGGAAGTGTGGGAGACCTGCTGCCTTTTGGTTTATTTTATTTATTTGGGGCGCGGCTATGTTGACGTGTGTTTGAGTGTGTGTACATGTGTGTGTGTGTGTGTGTGCCTGCGTATACTGATGCTAATAATAAGGAGTCGTATTTATTTTGGGATTTGCGTAAAGTGACCAAGCAGAAGGCAAAAAACAGGCCAAGCGAAACACAATAAGCGCTTTAAGGGGTCGACATTTTGGGTCGTGGTACCCGCACCCTTCCAAAACCTGACAGCGAGGCGCAGTCAGTGAAGCGTGGCATATTTGTCATAATCAGCGCTTAGGCATAAATTTGAATGAGTGTGCACAGAGGGAGAGAGAGAGAGAGAGAGACACAGAGAGAGAGAGGGAGTTGCATATGTGGTATGTGACTGGCAGATGTATGATAAAGCTCTGTGCGTGTGCGCGTGTGTGTATGTGCAGGGCAGTTAAGCTCAGCAATGTGACTGTGATTTGTGACTCGAACTAACGACTCTAGGCCACAACTAGTCAACTGGACCAAGCCAAATGTCAATTTGAAGTCAACTAGTTTAGCGTAGCCAGAAAACCCAATTGAGAATTGTAAGCGAAAATTCAGTTTTGGCCTTAGTGGAGAGATAGCTATAATTTCGTCAGCCATATCAAGCTGTTCACTCGACTCACTGGCCATGACAGCATTTTTATTTTTATTTTCAGTTTCATTTTTGTTTTTATTTTCATTTTCGTTTTTCAAAAAAAAAAAAAAAAACGCTTTATGGCCAGCGTCTGCCCTGGCAGGCAAATATTTGTCAGGCGAATTTCGAAAATGCTGCAGGCAAAACGGGAAAATCGAATATGGCATGAACAGATGAGATCCTGAAGAGTGTGTGTGCGTGTGTGTGTGTGTTTAGGCTCAGCGTGTGGTCATAAATTTGATGGAAGAAGAGGCGGCAGAGACATAAAAAATGTTTTCGATTTGGTTCGCTGCTCGCATAAATTGAAAGGTCACGTATTCACAGGTGTGTTTTCCAGTTGAGAAGTGAAACGCGGCTGCTTCACCTTCTTCTTCTTCTTCTTCTTCTTCTTCTTTTTCTTACAACATATAGGTTACACTACTAAAATTGCGTTTTTAATATTTTAATGCAGATGTTTTTGGCAATCGATTGCATTCAATTTATTGCCAAATTAGGATTTACTGCGCATCCAAAACAGCTTAAACATTGAGTTTGGACATGTTTGAGAGGAGTTTAATGCTTTAAATTATCCTGGAGCTTTGTAATACCAATAAATCCTATTATATTTTTATATATCAATTTTTTTAACTATAATTTTCTATTTTTTTTGCTTATAATTTTTTATTTACATTAATTTGACTATTATAGTTATTCAATGTAATTCATTTAATTAAACATTAATTATTTATTATTTATTTAAGAAAATATTAATTTGATTCCCGATTTCAGGTTGAGGTTCCATTGTTCAAT